TATATAGCAATAATGAAACTTCTATATTGTGGTCGCAATCCATGGATAATGATCCTTTTCATTTGAGCTCCTCCAATGACAAACGTTGGATCTAATTCAGTAATCTCCTGATAGATTGACTTGACTTTATGAAAGTATTGAAGAATCGTCATGTCACATTGTGAGATTGATAATTCATCCTCCAGAAGTTGTAGCCTTGTATCGTTCTTCTTTAAGAATAACACACGGACATGTCTCATGCTTCTTTTGGTGTCTTGTTATTCCGAATGTGTTCTAACGTCTCTTTTTTTATTGTGGTTTTCAAGGTTAACATTGCTTTATTTGCTTTAATTTTCCATTTGTGAAAGGCACCATTAAAATCCTCCTCTGGCAGCGTAGTTTCACTCCCACTAACGACTTCCCAAAGGTCCTGTCCTTGTAAATAGGACATCATGCATGTTGCCCAAATATTGTAATTCTTCGTATTGAGTTTCTTAATTCCTCCAACGATTTAGAAATCACTCATAGTGTTGGCAATACCTTAATAATACCAAAGAAGTTTGTTCGACACAAAATTTGCAAAGTCACGGACTACTCACAACACAAAGAAAATTACTCACTAATAATCTCAATAAATCGTTTCTGATGTAGAAGATCAGACACAACTACAACCACAGAGCATACTATGCATTTTAAGATATTAAACAACCTATGTCAACCTCGCTCTGATACCAAATTGTTGAACACGATCGACAACTTTTTGTGGGAATCAGTCTCACTCCTTATTAAGACCAATCGAAAGAGATTATAGTATATTAGAAATAATTAAAATAATATCACGTAATTAATAACAAAATCATTTATCATGACGTGGCCTTGAGTTGAAGTTTAGAACATATTCAAGCAGGTAATTGGGCCGGCCCACTAATGACCCAAAACAACGCATACGATCTTTACCGAATTAGGTCAACACAGAAACCTAATCGGCGGAGATTCTACCGCCTCGCTATCTGTATAAAACCCGATAGCCACTTTGCTAATTTCATTATCCATCTTCTTCCGTCTCGGTTAGGGTTTCCGCGCTTCCTCGGAAACGAAGGTTCAGTTGGATTTGGCTTCAATTATTTTTTAATATCTAAGTTCTTTAGGGGTATTAGCTGCTTCTTCTTCATTGTTTATGATCTTTAGCGTTCGATGCTTCATCATCTGGCGAATGTGGATTCAATCTGTTCCCATTTGACTCGTTCCCTTGAAGCAAGATTGAGTGTGTTACATCCTGGTTTCTTAAAATCTCTTGCAGTGTTTACCATTACTACATGAGAACGCGGGAGTAACTATATTTTTTTTTTTATTATTATTCTCTTGTTCATGTGTTTATTTTAGTTTTTTTTCTCTTGATCCTTGTTGGAACTTATTTTCTCTCGATAAATGATGATTCGGAGTGCTGTTTTAACGGTGATGAGTCTATCAGACCTGTTATGATTTGCGAATATGATCGCAATCCATAATGAACATCTAAGGGACTGAGTTACTTCGTTGTCCTCCGATTTGTTTTTTTATAATGCTACGAAAATTACCACTAGTCTTTTCTTTTCTATCATCATAGTTTCTTTCTAGATTAACGTAGTACGTACTTCATGAAATATCTTTGGCCTCACTTTTTTAAAACTGGAAATCTATCTAGCTTTCTATTCGATGAAGCAGGATCCATTTGTGAGGCCTAAAGCTATGTTCTCCTCGCTATCCAGAGTTTCACTTTACATGATCCATTTGGACGTCGGAGAACTACATTTATTTTTTCGTTTCAATATTTTTTATATGTAATCATTAATTTAATCCTGTAACATTAACCTTTGATATTCTCAGCTGTCAGTTCCTTCAGGTACTACGAGGTTCCGAGCTCTTCTCCCCTCACAGACGAAGTTGGCCACTTGTATAACTGGTTGCTTGGATTTCATTCACAGGATGGTAATTTGAGATCGTGTAATATTTTCTTCTGCAGATTATTTAGGTTTCAACAACTCGTCAACGCGGACATCGTTTCTCAGCAAGGCCAATACCGTTTTTCTATGAATGTTGTAATTTGTTTCTGTAAATATTTGATCCATTTAATGACAACATTCTTGGTGTTGTGCGACATTATTGATTTTTTTTCTTTTTTCTTCTCGTTTTTCTTAATTTACCATCGTACTATGAATTCAAGTCTGGTGGTCTTTCCTTCTAGTTCAGACCAACAAAGCATCTATATCGATACCGTTTATTCAAATGACATAGACTTCTTTTTTACGTGATAAATCTACCGTTCTTTTTCAGTATCATAGGCTTGCGAAATTTCGTACAGTTGATATGATTCTACTGTCAGATTTTGGAGGTTTCATGAAGTTCTAAGTTTCTTTTTGAAGATGTTAACTTAGAAACACGATTTGAACTCGCTAAGAACATTAGACTCGGTTTATATTATCCTTGTACCATATCGAGATTAACAGAACTCGGTTTCGGTGGTACTCCATCGACACCGTCCTCAGAATCTTTCTCCGATCGGGCACTTTCGTTCACATGAAATATTTCTCGGCGACAATTCTCCCCTGTCGTCCTTCCAGTATCTTGTAAATCAATCGCCACTTCGCCGACATCGTTCATCATGCGACGTCGATCTACGTCGAGTTGTGATGACTGCATTGTTCCCATAATTTTCATCGTCGCCATTGGCTGAGTTGTCAAAATCGATCACACATCTTCACGGATCTCTGATGAGTCGCATTATATGTGCCTTGAGAGTGTCCATCGCTATCGCTCACGAGGAACCGTTCGTTCCTGTTTATACCCAACTTCCGTCCTTTCGTTATCCGCCGGCCAAATTTCCGAAGACTCTCCGGCGTATAACAGGCACTGTCATATCTCTTTCCAGTGACCGGTAGATTTCGAAATACCACTACATAAAATTAAATAAATAAATAAAAGCACTGATAGGAAGGTGTGTTTTGTTTTGGGTAGGAGAATTATTTATAGCGTTTTTATCAGGTTTAATAAGCCAAAGAGTTCTTGTGAATTTGGGATTCATTAGGTTGCTTTTCAGCTCCCAATCGAATTCATGGTCGAGAACAACAGAACAGGCTAACGAACTCACTGCCCGTCCCAATATGCTCCGCATATCTCATCAACAAAACTTCAATAATTGTACGAATAAATTTACCCTCTTCATTTATATATTCTTTAAAAATTAAAAGAATCGGACTTTTCTTAAATTTTTGGAGGAATTGATACTGGGCCTTGTCGGCCCAGTTAATTTTATTAGGTCTAATTAGAATAGCAGTGAAATAGATTGGGCCTTGTGATTCCATTTCCAATGTAGCAATTTCCAACTCTTGTTCAAGGATATGGGTGAAAAATGAAGCTTCGATTTAGAAAAGATATTAGTGTCTTAATACCATAGTAATAATAAATTATTTGGATATATATTCATATAATAACGTTAATTTTTTTTTATTATGTTTGCAGAAATTTAAAGAAATATCAAGAGTCTAATATATATTATATATCTATTTTTGTAATTAGTAAAATTTCGTGGTATTTTTTATATTTTATTGTTATTATTATTATTTTGTCAAAAATTAAACCCAATTATAGGTGAGTTTTGATATGGATCACGAGAATTTTATTAATTTACGTCATGTTATTAGTTACATGTTAATAAATGCATTTCGACGTAAAGTGAAAGGAATAATAATGATGCATTTTGCAAGTTCGCCAGCCTGTAAAAACAAACTAGGCAATATATTAGTGAGAGAAAATCAGTGATGCAGCCACGTGTGAGACTAAGAACCGTTGATATTAATCCGGGGCCCACGTTTAGAGGTAGTGGGCCATGGACCTTTCCTTCATTACCTCAAGTACTAAGCGGTCAAAGTCCAAGATACCCTTCTCCCTTCCATTTTTCACACTTCCAAAGATGCTTTCTTTCTACCCTTTTCATACTCATCTTCTCCTTTCTTCACTCAACTTTTCCACTCCTTCCTTTTTCCTTTTCTTCTCATTTTTTAAATATCTTATTTTTTGGGATCATTTGTCTATTATTATCTAAATTGTCCCTATATTTCGTGTCGATCAAGGGTCTAATTAAGCTTGACTAACCTTCATTGATTGGCCCTATAAGCTATGGAGACCGATACGAAGTGATCGGAAGTGAGTTAATATAAAATGATAGAGATTGGATGAGAGTCTTAATCTCGTTGTAATCTTCCCAGTTTTTTTTTTTTTTTATTTTTATGAAATTTGTATTAAATTTGAGATAGACGAATGAGAAAAAATAATAATTGAAAATGGAGTGGGTAAGAATAGATTATAATATATGGTTTAATTAATTTCTTTCTATAAGATGTTATATTATTGATAATAGTATTGGAAAGGAACAACGCCTTGATGCTAATTGGTATATTGATGCTAATTGGTATATAGATATCTAAATACTTCAATTAATAAGAATTTTGTAGAATAAGTCTAAGCCAGAAGTTAATTTAATTAATTAATTACATAATTATACAAGATATAACACGTTGGAAACATTTGATTTAGCATCCACGTCATTCCTTCTTATTCGGAATTAGCCTCCTTTTTGTGCTCATCCCTTGTGCGTCGTCGTTTAATATTTTTTACAATTTATTCGTGGCAAATAAACACAACTATTTTCTTTTCTTTTCTTTTGTTTAAAAACTTCCGATTTAAAAGAAATAAAATATTTTAAAAATAGATTTAATATAAAAAAATTGAAAAAAATTTCAAGGGTTTTTTTAAAATTTTTTTTTAATTTTATAATTGGCCTAAACGATGACGTAGGTAGGTGACCTTCCCCAAGACAATTTCTAGGTATATTATTTGGCAACTAATTTTCTACCTCTGCCACGTGAGACCCCGTCGCGTCCACCGTGGCGCCTTCTCCGACGCGGTCTCTTCCCGCCCGTTCCTTCCCCTTTCCTCTCCACACCTCTATTTAAGCAAAAATTTCCCTCAATCTCCTAATCCGGAAAACGAAATCATTTCGGAGCCCTAAAGCGAAGAAAAAGGAAAGAATCACTGTAATATGGGCAACTGTTGCAGAAGCCAATCCTCTACAATGATCTTCGCCGGAGACGATTGGGGCTCCTTCAGTTCCAAGCACGGCCGTGGCCGTGGCGGAAACGCCTCAACCTCCAGCGGCGATCCAGAGAAATATAGACTACTTGGAGAGAAGCAAACGTCGTCGTGTCCACAGCCGCAAGTGAAAATCAAGATGACGAAGAGAGAGCTTGAGGATCTGGTGAAGAATCTGGAGATAGAAGGCTTGAGTCTAGAACAAGTAATTGGGCGGATGATGAACGATGAGGACGAATTTCAAGGTGAGCACCATCGCTCATGGAGACCTTCTCTTCAAAGCATTCCAGAGTGATCGATTAGCGGTTAGCTCTTCCTGATCTGTAAAAAAGAAGAAAAGAACAGGAAATTCATTCATTCATTATATCGATTTGTTTTGCTGTACATGTAAATTAGTTCGTTGAATTCGGTTCTTACTCATTTGTAAATGTTAGGGCAAATTTGCATTTATTGCAAGCTTGAGAAGCATGTGAAGATTAAATTAAACATGAATTCCCACTTGGTTTGCAGGAGCTGTTATTAATTACGAGTGTTCTGCTCTGCATTCAATTCTGCAAAAGTTTGCCCTAGAACGAAAAATTGAATTTAATTTTGGAATAATTTTCAAAATTATGAATTATTTATGATCTTAAAATTTATATATATTTAGAAAAAAACGGAGTCTGCACACTTAATTCTGGGGGTCTATTTTCTCCGACAAGCATTGGCACCTTTAATACACTTGCCATCTAGTGGAGTTTACTTAACCCTTTATTGATATGCTATAATTTAAATTACAATAAATGATTAAGTACAGCTCATTGACTCAATTATGGGGTCTAATATCTACTAGCAGTGGGCTTGAGTCATTACAAATTGTATCATAACCAAACACTCGGGTGTGCCAACAAGGACACTGAGTCACCAAGAGAGTGGATTTTAAGATCTCACATCAGTTGGACAATGAAACAAAGTATTATTTATAAGGTTTGGAGCATTACAAACGATATTAGAGCCAAACACCGGGCGGTGTGCTAGTGAGGATGCTGGGCCCTAAAAGGGTGGATTGTGAGATCTCATATTCGTTAGAGAATACTAGGGTAGACACTAGCCTCCAAGGGAGTTGATTGTGAGATCTCACATAGGTTAGAGAACGCTTAGCCTCCAAGGAATTGCGGGCTCCCTAAACACCAGGGTAGACACTAGCTTCCAAGGAGTTGATCGTGAGATCTCATAACGGTTAGAAAACGCTTAGCCTCCAAGGGATTGTGGGCTCCCAAGACGATGGATTGTGAGATCTCATATCGATCGAGAAAGCTCTAATTCATGAGTCAAACATTCGTATGAAAAAGAAAATTGAATAGCTGCACGTAGACTGCCCATATCTAAATGCACAAACCTACTAGTACTACACATTATAGATCGCATTTTAATTTGAAATGAATAATAAAAGTCCATTCATACTTTTCAATATTCAAATAAATGTGCATTTAAATTTTTCATAAAAATCTGCTTCATTTTAAATGCACAAAAAATCATTAAATTCCCCCCCTAATTATATAAAATATAATTTAAATACTCAAAACAACAACAATTATTAAAACCCACTTATTATTGCCAATTTTAAATAATTTCTTGTCAATGACTTTCAGGGGCTACTAAATGGGCCACTAAATGTCTCTCTCTATTTAAATTTAGAATTAGTTTTATTTTATTTTTGTAATTTTTCAATCATTTCAAATAAATAAATAATATACTTTTTTTTTCATTTTAAATATAAAAATTCTAATTCATTAATGAATTAACAAATTTGAAAATTTTATTTGTATTTATTTAATAGATAAAAAATAGTAAAGTGTTTTATCCAATTTTTGTAATTCATTATATACCTCTTGAATTGAACTTTTATTTCTAAAAAAATATTTTAATTAATACTCAAATTTTAAAAATAAAAATATAATACGACTAGTTTTATAAGTAGGGTCTATCAACTCAAGTTTGCATGTCCAACAAACACAAATTATCCAATACGGAAAGAAAACCTCTCGAATTCCTCGGAACCAACTCGAGGAGTGTGGACGACTACTAAATATAAAGGAAAAAATTCCTCGAGCTATCTTTAGACGAGTTAATATGGTTAATGTTCATTTTCGTAATTTCGATCCACTGATAAATATTGCAGGAAGAAAATGTATGAATGGAGAGACTCAGGTACGAACCTTATATTACTATATTGGCCTGAAGTCATTCACGGGTTGCTCGACAGGATTGTTCCGATTTTATTCATTCAAATTTAATATTTATAATTTTATTTTAAAATTAAATGGAAAAAAAAAAAAAAAAACAAAGTGGATATGAGGCGGAAGTTATTTAATTCGAAGAATATGTGGGTCCCTAGCCGAATGAAAGGCATGAAAAACCAGGCGGGTCGGGAGGACTTCGGACATTTCCCGGGTAAGTCGGGTAAATTTATGAACCGAAAACTCGCACGCTTGGGGAAATTGGCACGCGTGAGAGAGAGAAGAAGTGGGGTCACCCTCACACTCATCACGCGTGCGAGGGAGAAGTTAGGAGAAAAGCAGCTGCTGCCATTAATGCCATTTCGTTCTTCTTCTTGTTCTTCCATCTCAACCTTTTTTTTTTTTTTTTTTTTTTTTTTTTTTTAAATTTATTTTTGTGTTGTTCTTCGTTCTTGCTCTTGGTATTGCAGATCTGTCCATGTGTGGGGCCATTCAGACAGCTATTACTTGAGCTGCTTTCGTCCCCACACACTTTGAAGCTCATTCATGGCTTCTCTCTATCTCTATCTCCCCACCTTCTCAATTTCTTCACTCACTCAACCACTTTCACTCCTCCAATCCCAATTTTGATGCTTCTTAAACCTTATTCTCTTCATTCCCTCTTCCAATTTCTCTTCCTCCACCTCCCTCCCTGCTTCTTTGGAACCCACACAATCTAGAAACTCAAAAAAATGGTTGACAGATTCTCTCTCAAGCTTCGTTTTGATGCCGTTCTTCTCCACACGCTACTTCTCCTCCTATGTGAGTGTTCTTAACTTCCTGTTTGTTTCTGCGTTTTTCTATGTGGGGTTCGCCTCTTTTTGCTCGATCTGTTGCCTTTTCACTAGCTTCTTCTTCTTCTTTAAGTGCTGAAGTTTAGGTAATTTTGTTCTGCTCTTCTTTCTCGACATTCTTGATTTGCTTATTTCTCTGTTGTTGTTTTGGATTGGATAGAAGAGCTGTCGTTATAGAAAGAATCAGCTTCTGATACCTAATTTTGCTCTGTTATTAACTTGCCTTTTTTTCCTCCATCTCTCATTTAATCTAATTTAACCAACGGCTAGATTAACTGATGAATGATTCAGCTGTCATTTTTGTGCTAATGGGTAGCATGCGAGCTGATGATACAAGCAAAGATCTTACTGGGTTGTCTTATAAATTTATAATTCAAGCATCTATGGAGTCTGGCGCAGTTATTTAGCTATACTCTGGAATTTATGTTCCTTTGTTGACTTACAAAATGTTTTCTGATACATGGTCTGGATTTGTAGAAGTAATCCTCACATAAGGGTTATAAATGAAACAGTAACTATAGGACCAAAAGAAATGAGTTTGGTTCAAGTAGTCGTGCTCACCAGCTAGCTGTTTTGCCGGAAGTATAACAGAGCTTTTGGAAAAGGCTCCACCCAGAAATCATAGGACCAAAAGAAATGAGTTTGGTTCACCCATTACCTTAAGCAATTAGCACACCTGACTTAGCCATGGATGACTTTAGGTTTTATATCCTTTTCAGATGCATTTATCTTCAGACAGAGATATTGTGTCATCTATTGAAGTGGAATATGAAATAGCTTGAAGCTGTTACGGACATAGTTGGATTTCTTTGTAAATGTGAGATCTCACATCGGTTGGAGAGGGAAACGAAGCATTTGTAAGGGTGTGGAAACCTGTCCTTACTAGACGCGTTTTAAAATTTTGAGAGGAAGCCTATAAGGGAAAGCCCAAAGATGATAATATCTGCTAACGGTGGGCTTTGGTTGTTACAAATGGTATCAGAGTCAGACTCCAAACGTTGTGCCAACGACGACGCTGGGCTCCCAAGGGGGTGGTGGATTGTGAGATCCCACGTTGGTTGGAGATGGAAACCCTCATTCATTATAAGAGTGTAGAAACATCTCTCTAGTAGGCGTGCTTTAAAACCTTGAGGGAAAATCTAGAAGGGAACCTCATTAGTGAACTAGCTCCTCTGCCTGCTTGTTCTGTCTCTCAAATTAGAATATTTATGTCACCTAAAACTGCAGAACATCATTATACAATAAACTAAAAAATGGTTGTACTTTATATGTTTAACGCGGTATTATATCTTACAAGTTATTTTTTTTCTTTTTGTTGCAGATTTCCATGAAACTAGCTGCATCCCGTCAACATCTCCAACACGGCATCTGTCGAATGAGAAACCAATGGATGATATGTATCCCGAGATCGCTCCAAGTGGGAATCCAAAGCCATTCCTTCCTCTCCTTGCCCCTTCTCCATTGGCACCCTTCACAAATACCACAGTCCCAAACTTATCAGGTTTATCATTGTTTGTCTAGAAAGAGTTAGTTTATAATGATTCATTGATTCTTCATTTCAATTTAATCTCTCATACTCCTTACAGGACAATGTTTGTTGAACTTTTCTGCAACCGAAACTTTGATGGGTGTGACTGCCATGGATTGTTGGGCCCCTTTCGCGAAACAGATGGCCAATGTTATTTGTTGTCCGCAGTTAGAAGCTACTCTTGCAATCCTTATTGGTCAGTCGAGTAAAGATACTAATGTTCTTGCTTTAAACGGGACGCTTGCCGAATATTGCCTCTCAGATATTGAGCAGATTTTGGTGGGGCAGGGTGCAAATGAACGTCTTAAACACATATGCAGAGTTCATCCAGCCAATCTCACTGAAGGGTCTTGTCCGGCCAAAGATGTTAGTGAATTTGAGACCACTGTCGATACGTCTAAGTTGCTTGCTGCCTGTAATAAAATTGATCCTGTGAAAGAATGCTGCAATGCAATCTGCCAGAATGCCATTTCAGAAGCCGCGACAAAGTTAGCAATGATATCTACAGATTTCTTGGGTATGCCTGGATCTCAAGTCTTGCCCGAACAGTCCGCCAGGGTTCGTGATTGTAAAACTATTGTCCTCCGATGGCTGGCGAGCAAACTTCACCCTGCTAATGCCAAGGAAGTTCTTAGAGTACTGTCCAATTGCAATGTTAACAAAGGTGAGCTTGAAAGCAAATCTTTTCGAACGGGGATTTACGAAATTCTCGTGATATCACTGTTATAATTCATCCACATCTCTATGTATTTGTCGATCCTACGCCCATTTGCCTTGTTGGTCAATGTCTACAACATTTTCAATTTTTTAAGATTCGAGTCACCACTCACTTCTGATGCTATTATCTTTAGCTACCACATCATCATAGATCTTTTCTGTGTGCTATTCTCAGTGTGTCCATTGGAATTCCCCGACATGAAATATGTTGCCGATGCTTGCGGGAATGCGATCTCTAACAAGACAGGGTGCTGCCTGGCCATGGAAAGCTATGTAACGCATCTGCAAAAGCAGAGCCTCGTCACCAACCTACAGGCTTTGGATTGTGCTACATCATTGGAAATGAAACTACGAAAGTCGAATATCACGAAGAACGTGTACGACCTATGCCATATAAGCCTTAAGGATTTCTCCCTCCAAGGTTTGTAGCTTTTATCCTCTTATGTTTCCAGATTTAAACAACTCCTTGAATAATTTCACATGGATTCTAATAGTTTTTTTTTTCCCTTTCCTGCCCATGTTCTAACTTGATAATGGATCTACAACTTTGAGCATTTCAGTTGGAAATCAAGGTACTATTTCATAAAAATTTACTTATTCCATATTCTTGCAAGCTAAACCTTTGATTACACCATTAGCTTTTGTTGGCTTAAAAGTTATTAGAAGACATACTGTTGGGATGTTCTTAGTTTTTAACGAAAAAAGAAAGAACGAAGAAGATTGGTGTCGGTCCATAGACACGAATGCAGATTTTTAGCCTGTTTTCGAAATTCAAATGATTCATTTTCTCTCTAACTTTCATTATCGTCTCGACAGAGTTTGGATGCCTTCTACCAAGCCTGCCTTCAGATGCCATATTTGATCCATCATCAGGGATCAGCTTTGTTTGTGATTTGAATGACCATATTCCAGCTCCATGGTCTTCTTCAACTCAAATGACAGCTTCATCATGCAATAAGAGTAGGACACATTTTTTTAAAACTTCCAGTATTTGGAGCATGGGTATCAAAGATAGACCCTTAACCAGTGTTCCCATCTTTATAAGAAAATGTCGAGTTATCGTCTTCTTAAATTTCTAATTGCTCGCGTTTTTGTATTGCAGCTATCAAAATTCCTGCACTTCCCGCAGCAGCATCTGCTCAAAGTGGTACTTATATTCTTCAACTATCCTCGAATTTCTCTAAAATACGAATATCATTACTAGTGGTCATTTTGAAACAGTAGTTTAATTTCATCATCATTCTTCTCCATGAGATCCCACATCGGTTGGAGAGGTGAACGAAACATTCATTATAAGGGTGTGGAAACCTCTCCCTAGTAGACACGTTTTAAAACCGTGAGGCTAATGGCGATACGTAACAAGCCAAAACGGACAATATCTGCTAGCGGTGGATTTGGCTGTTACAAATGGTATTAGAGCTAGGCATCGAGCGGTGTGCCAGCGAGTACGCCAAACCCCTAAAGGGGTGGATTGTGAGATCCCACATCCGTTGGAGAGGAGAACGAAGCATTCCTTATAAGGGTGTGGAAACCTTTCCCTAGTAGATGTGTTTTAAAATTGCGAGGCTGACGACGATATGTAACTAGCCAAAGCGGATAATACCTGCTAGCGGTGGGCTTGGGTTGTTACACTATCAATCTAATCCCATCCACCAAACACAATTTATACGAACAAGTGGATTCTTTGATCCATTCTTTTACACAAACAGTGGTTACAAAAATGTAGAATTTTCAATCTCGAACTTAGTCAACGATTACAAAACAAGTCATTACTAACTAACGCTCACTGGGATGAATACAGAATTTAATACCATGCTTTAATTGACCTGACATCTGAGTTCTGAGGTAATAGAAGAAAAAAAAGACTTAAGTGAGTCAGTGAGAGTTATGTAGATACAGTATCTAAGTCAAAAAATGCAGAGTTTTGTTAGGTTGGTTGACACATTCAAAGTGGATTTCCTCAAACTTATACCCCAACTGTTGCAGGCCTTTACAACGATGGTGTGGTACATGTGTTGCTCATTGCTATCTCAGTGGCCCTCATGATACTCATCTAGCTTATTTATTGCTATCTTTGGAGAAGACTGTTGTCAAGTCATCATCTAAAACAAGGATGTTCATGTTCAATGAAGCTTATGACGAAGTCTTGTATCCTCAGAAGTTTGATCCTTGTGAATAGTCTTAGATGTTCTGAATGTGGTAGAAATTTGAGTTGGAAAAATGGTTCCCAAATTCCTAATTTGTTCATTCTTGCTGTCAATGTAATAAAAAAGTTTTGTAAAGATATATTAGGAAAGCTGAGCAAAGTGGTGCAACATTTCAGATTTCGTTGTATATTTGGATTTCTATCCAACATGAACATAGCTCAATAGTGATTGACGTGTAGTCTTTCTCTTATATCTGTTCAAATACTAAATATTTGTTTTCATCGCGCTCGAAAATTTATTCGTTAAATCAAACAAAATCAAAATGAATCAGTAATAGCTTAAGTCTACTGCTAATGGATTTTGTTCACTTTAGCTTGTTACGTATCGTTGTCAGCCTCACAGCTTTAAAAAGCGTATGTTGAAGAGACGTTTCTACACCCTTATACGTAATACTTCGTTTCCAACTAACATTGACCGATATTGATTATAACTCTTGATTATGAAAATTGATAAGGAACAGTTGATTATAAATGATATTTTTCTGGAACGGTTTCAAAGTTCGAGTTAAAACGAAACTATCGAAAAGGAACTCTCAAAAAACATAAACACGAGTATTCATGAACGAGAAAACCGAATTTTTTACCTTCAATTTCGTTTCATTTTTCGATTAGAGGCAGCATAAAGGAACTCTCCATCCAATATCAAAAGGCATTTCCCTTTTCAAACATAGAACTCCACAAAACAAAGATAAGAAGACAAGCACTCAAGAAACCAAAGAAGGAAAGGCCAAAGCTTCCTCCTTAGCTCGTCCGAACAAGCTCTTACAAGTTCTAAGCTGTCCAAATTGCTTGCAGATCCCATTTCTTGCAGTGCAAATCCCCATTGACATCGTCTTCTTCAGCTTCTTCAACCTCCTCCCAATCCTTAGCTTAAACTTCCTTATTCTGATTCTGAGACACGAAGATCTCCTCCTACTGCCACTGTTTGCCTGCTCCATTATCTTGTAAATCAAGAACTGAGCTTGCCTGTGCTTTTTCTCTTCTGGGTCTTCCTTCTCCATCCTTGAGTACCCATTTTGCCTCCTTGTTACTAACCCACTCATATTTCCTCTGCTAAAACAGAGCCTTTCAGAAACAGAGCCTTACAGAAACAGAGCACTTTCTAGAGAAAATGGTATCAACTCAGAATCAAGCACATAAATTCCTTTCACAATACCCATTTTATATACATAAAGACAAAGAGAGAGAAGGGCATGATGATTGTTGTCATTTCTTAAATCAAAGAAAAAGTTAAAAAACATAGCTAACCGTCCATGCGTCATTCCATCCTAAGCAGAAACCTACTCTTATATTCTTCTATAACTATCATTCTGATTATGATTTTCAATATTTTATGATAAAACTTGGATCTTGGGATAAGTTTAAAACAACGCCAACCACATACAAAAAGTGGGATTATTTATTTATGAAGAAAGCTTTCAGTCTGTTATTTTGGGGTCTCTGCAATACTTATTTTGTTCATTGTTCATCAATCTCCATACTCTGATATGAAAAGAAAAGAACAAGAAATTGGGTTTTTGTTAATAAATAATGATATGGGTAATTGTGTAAAGCATGTGATGGATAATTATGGAGCTGTCTGGGTATGAATCCATGCTTCATACTTTGGAAACATATAAATTATTGCATTATTGCATATAACCTATGGTTTAGCATTGAAGAAAAACATATAATAAACTGAATAATTTTTTGTAAAAAACTATGAACCAGCTGCCAATAGAGTCAGCAAGTAAGCCAAGCCGTCCGAATGAACAGTGAAATGAAGCAATATTTAATTGGTCGAATCGGCGACCAGCTGGTGAGATACAAAGTCAAAAGATGGGACGTGTGAAGCTTGTCATGTGTAGAACAGACAAGGACTTGGGTGATGCCTGAAGGTTTCTTGAAGAGTCAGCTTCCCCACGGCTAAAGGGTCGGTAGAATTATTGGAAGAAAACACATTCATTTATTGGGTTTCCATTATTAGTTTGTATCATGCTGAGTTTGGTCAACTTTGCACTAATCATTTTATCTGTATAATTCTATCATATTGTTCAAAGGAGTTGGATAAAGGAAAGATTATGGGTATATAAGTGGAGTCGATTGTTTTTCAGTGGATCAGAGTCATGCTTTGTCTTAACCGTGTCGGTAAAACCTCTCTTGCCATTAAATTTCTTTATATCATATATGTTGTAGCCATTTTCGAATAATGTAACTTTCACTTATCTTTACAATTGTTAAATCCCATATCGATTGGAAAGTAGAACGAAACATCTCTTATAAGGGTGTGGAAATCTCTCCTTAAAAGACTCGTTTGAGCAGTGGGCTTGAGCTGTTAGAAATGATATTAGAGCCAGGTTACTGAACGGTGAGAGACACTGGGAGTAGGACTAGACCTTCACCATAGTAGGTGCGTTTTAATACCGTGAAACTAAGGGCGATACGTAATGAGTAAAAACAGACATCTTTATATATTGAGTCAATATTATTGATATAAAAGTTAATGTTTCCATGATGAGCATAGGATCCTGTTCCATTAATATACATTACTTTTTGCCAGAATGAATGGTTGAGAATAAGGCCACAGAGAAACATAAATAAATGAAAGTTGACCAAATGTTAGAGCTTTCAGCGAGATTTCAGACTAAAAGTAAAGAGTTTTGAGAAACAGAGCACGCTATTGGGCTCTGTTTTATTTTGTATTTGCTTTCTTCTTCATGCATGTCGTCTGCAACCATGCTCCTTATTATTTCCAAATAAACAAGCAAAGGATGATGTCTGTTTGATGTTTAAGGTCCATTATATTTACTTCCGAAGGTCAACTTTTGAGCATGATGATGTTTGCAATGACAAAGACAAAGTAACCTTCGAATCTGTAAAAAAAGATTATGTTTTTCCAATACGCATGTCAAGGTTATTGTTGATTAATGCATGGTACAATAATGAAGAAGCAGGTAGATTGTTTTATTACAGGTCGGTCGGACAAGATTTGATTCACAAGATTGCATCTTGATTCTGGATAAACATCTGCTCTGTTCATCAGTTTATTTTGGGCTTAAAGCACTAGATTCGTGAATCCTTCCGAAATAGATTGAAAGTATTTCTTATTTTTTAAGTAAGTTAGTTGGGAGGAAAGCAAAGCATTTTTTTACAAGGGTGTAGAAATCTTTCATTAGCATACGCGTTTTAAAAACTTTGAGGGGAAGCCCGAAAGGAAACCTCTAAAAAGGGCGATATTTGCTAGCGGTGGGCTTGAGTAGTTACAAATGATACCAAAGCCAGACACCGAGCAATGTACCAACGAGGAGGCTAAGCCTTGAAAGAGAGTGGACACGAGGCGGTGTGTCAATCAGGACACAGGGCCTCGAAGGGGTAGTTTGGGGGTTTCAGATTAATTGGAGAAGGGAACAAGTCCCAGTGAGAACGCTAAGCCCCAAAGGGGGTGGATTGTGAGATCACACATCGGTTGGGAAGAAAAACGAACCATTCTTTATAAGGGTGTGAAAATCTCTTCCTAACATATGCGTTTTAAGTAAAAGCTAGAAAAAGACAATATCTACTAGCGGTGAGCTTAAACTTTGACCTGTTCCAATTGTTAGAAGTTCGGAGTTGATGTCACAGCATATCAAACTAACTCAGAAATCCAATTGTCACAGCATATCAGAGTGTAAACCATGTTCAGACATGACCAGATGAACAATAAGTGAGGATTTTATTTATATATAATATATAAGAACAGCAAGTCTGTCTTCCAGATCTCGATCTGTAGCTATAAATGGGCGACTACAAGTTGATTGAACACTCAAAATTATTTACATTCTGCCCATGTCTTTGGAGGCAGAAGTATATTCCAAGCAGAGTGATGCAGGCTTGTGGAGCCGGTAATGCTAAGTAATCTATAAGCTTCTCAAGATGATTAAACCTTCAAAAGTTCCTATAGTTACCACTTAACCCACTGATCCTTCAAGCTTCAAGCTCATGAGTTGGTTCACCTCAGCACCAAATTCATCAGGCAGCTCGTTGAAGACATCACGACAGAATCCGGATATCATGGCAGCCATGGCCTTCTCATAGTCTATTCCTCTCTGTTGAAAATAAAACAACTGATCTTCACCAATCTTGGACGTACTGGCTTCATGTTCAATGCGAGCTGTGGGATTCTTCACCTGTTAGAAACGAGACTGAGTTCTTTAGATGACTACAAGGATTTGAGTAATAAAATTTGCACAAATTCAAGCCTAGGTTTTTGCTCATCTCAAGTATTTCATCTTCCAGACAGTTCTTGGCTTATCCCTATCAAAGTCGCCTCCATTGGATTAATAAAGAACTTTCTACTTCAAAAGGTATACCCTCAATCTCATATTATGTATACTTGCAACTCTATAATGATGAAGAAAACTATGTCAAGAATGCCCAAGTTATTTTGTGTAAAAGGAAACATACAAGAATTCAAAATAAGTTTAAGCTGCCCTTTCGGTGCCAAGATTTGAAGTTATGAAATTAAAACAAAGTGGCAGTGCATGCATGACAAGATTTTCATCTTCTGGAGAAATTTCAGAGAAGCCTTGCTATTACTTCCAAATTGTTTTCTCACACAATTTGTGACAGCCCAATTGTGACAGCTAACGGATATTATCCGCTTTTTTGATTTGTTACGTATCGCTGTTAGTCTTATAGTTTAAAACGCGTTTGCTAGGAAGAGGTTTCCACATCTTAAAAGAAATTAATTATTTCTCTCTCGAACCGACATAGAATTTCACATAATCATTAACTACTTCTTGTTCATCAATGACTCAAACTATAGAAAGCTAAAACATTGAGGCTATTCTTTGCTTTTTGGACAAGTAGGTGTAAGGATGTAATATTAGCGAAGCTTCCAGGAGGTGCTGTTTTTGGGAGGAACTTTGTAGTGTGAGATATACACTTCGTAAACATTTTGATTATTGAGATTGGTTGCTACCCTTGGATGTATGAGAAATTTCTTTTCTCCGAATCAAGTAAATTTTTGTGTAATTTCTGTTTGTGGGTGTGTGAGTGCAATCGATCTTACTTCGCTTTAACGCAGACAACTTTGGAAACAACCAAATAAGAAATAAAAGGGAATTACCTGAATGTATGGGTAAGTGTTGGCAGCAGCATTGTCACCAATGAGCATTGAATCACATTGAGACGAGTTCTTAGCATTGTCTGCTTTGGATTGAACCTGAACAAG